GAATACACATATCTCTGAAATCCTACGTACTTTCGAAAAAAAAAATTTCTTACTGAAAATCTAATGTGAGGCCAAAAATGCTTCTCGGAAATTTGATGCATATGTTGGAAACATCATAACTTCTGAACGGATAGGACGATTTTAATAGTTCAAAATGCAAACAACGCATATTTATGTGAAGAATATGTAGAAATTCTAAAAATACTGGAAAACTTGTTACTTGACACCGTAAAATGAAAAAAACCCCATAAAAGTTGTCAAATTTTCAAACGACTATAAGTCCTACAATAGTAGGCGTATCTCATTGAAATTTAGTTTGGAAGTAGAGCTAATGGATAGTTAGAAAAAAGTACTAGATAACATTTTTGTATATTGCCAACCGAATTTATTAAGAATAAAAAACGAATTTTTAAGAAAAATCGACAAGGAGAAAGTGCTAAAATTTTTTAAAAAATTTTAAATCATTCTGGAAAAATTATTTTCAGTTGCAGGGGTCAATTACAATCATTTTTGGTGAATAGTCATACCCCAAAAGTCCCACGCATTTTCGAGAAAAAAATTCGTGTACATGGACGAATTTTATTAATAATTTGTAATAATAATTTTTTTAATAACTTTTTAACGAAACCTCAATCAATAAATTGGTATTCTTAATTTTCGTCTTATTTTGGCCTCTAGAATCTCTCATTAAAATTTTTCACAAGGGTGGCCGAACACATAAACATAGAAAATAAAAATCTGAAATGCAAAATGAAATTATTTCATTTTATGCCTTGGTTTATCTAAATAAAAATATTTTATTCGCCAAAATTTAGCTTCTCATTTAAAATATTTTATACCAACCATGAAGCATCTATTATTCCAAATATTAGAATAAGTTTTTATCCTATTTTTTTTTATATTCATTAACAAAGTACTGGCCAGCACCACTCAAAAAGAATAATACTTCCAACTGACCTTATTTATGTTGCAACGTAATAGCGTATGAAATATTTCTTCTTAAAATTTTTTCCGGCTCTACTATCGTTATATTACTGTAGACAATAAAAAGCGCACACTCGGAAGCGTCATAATAAAGCCACCCACTAACGATTCTCGTTCACAAATTCCAATCCATTAGAATGACCAGTAATTGTTCGTCCAGCGACACGTAACATTTTTCCAATTTCCATTCGTATCGAAAATTTTTTTTATGTCTACGTATGAAACTAGAATATTAACGTTGTACACGTGTAATACAATCTGACTTTAAGGACTCGTCTATCGTATGACTGTAACTTTTAAACGTTTAAAACTATCTCTAATAGTTAATGGTAGGATTTGTTTGATATAATTTTTACGATACATTTGTTCTGAAAAATAATTACGTGAGTATTATCCTTATCTGCTCGTTTCCGTAACCCGTCCGTTTGATTTCATTTCATTTCTATGTAGGTACAAGATAAGAGACATTACTGAGATATTTAAATATTTAGCAAACATTAGTTTTCCAGATGTTTGAGACGATAAAAGAGAGTGGTAGTTTGTGTGTCACGCGAATTAGCCAAATTCGCTTGGCACAGTTTCAGCTTGCGAAAAGAGCACGACGCAGATCCTTTATCGAAACGAGGAAAAACAGGCGATAAAACATGGTTTATAGAGGTGAAATCATCGGTCTAAACGAGGGTGACGTCCATTAATCATTTAGAACGTTGATCGGCACTCAGGAAAAGTAGTGTCTATTAGGGATGTCCCATTATTCAGAAAAGGGTGAATAAATATTTCGATTCATTCGAAAAACTTGACTCGCGTATTCCAATTTCAAATCATTCGAACAGAACTCAAAACTAATAATTGTTCTGTCGATTCAAGTAATTTTTAAAATATAATTTACAAATGCAAAAATTTCATTAATTCCTAGTAAGTAATATCTTCACCCACATTTCAAAATGAAAAGCGACAGTGAAGTCAGCGATATTATGTTCGAGGACATCTCCCTAAAAGTATTTCGTCCGCGAAAGCTAAAAAAGCCCTCTAACTCGAAAGTGCAAAGTTTGCTGCGAGGAGCAAAAAAAAAAAAACTCAACGAAACTACTTGGAAATGCAACAAACGTCTCGTTCCGTTCCACTTTAAATTTTATCATTTACGTACAAAATTATTAATACGCGTCTGTCGAGAATTTACATAGAAATGACTTTTTGGCGCGAAACCTTGTTACGAATTTACTACCGTTTGGTTACGTCCATGGATCAATTCCATATTAATTCTCTAAACATCGGTGCACCAAAACTTTTATACGTTTCATCGTGCTGGCTATTTTTCTATCTGGAATCACGGTTAAATAGTATTTGAGACTCTCGATCTTTACGTTCGAGCGAATAAATCTAATTATACTAATACGATTTGAATGAGACGAGAGTTAGAAGAGAAGGCATGGTTATCGATTCGTTTCGCGGATCGACGTTGAATCCTTCCACGCATTTCGAGGCGCGACACGAACAACGACAATGGTAAACGACGGCTGCGACGACGAGGCTGAATTTTAAGCGTCCGGGACGCGCGGAAGGCGAGCGGAATTAAGTTCTACGTTTTGCGCGCGTTGAAGATGCCGGCAGGGTGGTTAGCCCGACGTTAGATATTCAGTCCGATTCGACTATGGCCTTTATGTACGTGTACATCCGATTTTCCACCTAATCGCGAGCGTATTCGAAGTCATAGCGGTAGTCTGCTGCGAAACAGGCGGACAAATAGAAGCTCCAGCTGGCGACCTCTCTGCATAATGCATACCATCGTCGTCGCACTCGTTCTGCACGGCTCGACGGTGTCCTGCGTTCTCTTCGTTAGTCTTTTATCTTACCTGGTACCTTCTTGACTATCCTCTTTCTTCTGTGCGTCCCTATCTCGTTCTGGCAAACTGTGGCGAGCCTGTGCAAGAAATCGCGCGTGTATTAGTTCTCCGCGAAAAACGAACAGAAGAGACGCTTCTGCTTCTACTTGCGTCCCGCTTGTTAAGAACTGGAGAGATTTCTGAAATGTCTGCATCTTTAACGCGATCACGCGCGAAACTTTTTCCTCGTCCGGCGAGAAACGGCTTCCCAGGACCCTTGGAACGTCGTCGAATGCAACAAACTGGTACTCGAATTCTGAGAAATGTATTGTGCGTTCACGAGAAGGTGGCTAGCAAAAGGAATGCGGGTTCGATTGGTTCCCCACTCTGGGTGGGCGGAGTTAACGAAGCATTGGCCCCTCTACCGTCTCGCTAGCCAACTTCTCGCGGACGCACAATAGGTGGTTTCAACCGATAGACCCGATAGACGCTAATCAATTTGATACAGCAAGGAACAAAGCGATAATTGCTGACATCGTCAAGTTTTTTCTATAGTGAGACACTCATATGTGGCGATAGGTGATACGGTTTGAGGAGTTGCATATTATACGCGATTCTATTCAGGATGTAATTACTCACACCGTAATGTAATTCGACTTTATTCCGATGCGTCGACTCAGTTCGATCTTCTTTCAATAGACGCTGAACAATTGAAACGGAACAGAGGAATGCAGTGACAATAGCTTGTTAATTATCATCTAAGCATGTTTTTTTATAGTGAAATTCTGTGCCAAACGTCAGGTGACTGTTCTTCAAGATAGCATTTTTAATGATCATTGAAATAGCTATTACAATAACTAACACCTTAGTGCAATTCAATGCTGTAATAAATGTGTTTGACAGACGCTAAATAACTTAACACTTTTGAAGTTTTCGTATATTATTTGATAAGTTGCATTTTAAACAAGATTCATGCATGAAAGGACAATGTTAAGTCATAGAGGGGTTTACTGACCCAAGAGCGTACAGCATATGCTATACACCGTTGGAAAGGTCTCGCCAAGGCGAATCGACTGATACCATTTTTAACTTCGATATCAGATGGGATAATGTCGAAAAATGGCCTCAAAGTTCGAGATTTTGCGGTTTTGAACAAAAGAAACCGGTAGTAAAAGCCCATCCGTTCCGAGGGACCTCGGGTAGGCACCTGAGGAAAAACCGAGGGGTGTAAGCGATACTCTAGCAGATTGGGACGGCAAATGTGCCCCACCACCTTCATTTCAGTGCCGTGTTGGGCCTGCGTTTGCCGCATGGGCCCCGTTCCAAATGCCCACGGCGAAATCGCCAATGGATCAGTTGTTTTTCATGAACATAATATATTCATGATAGACGATTCGCAGGTATGAGTTGGGAATGTGCAGGTTAGTATTCAGTATTCACATCATTATGTTTCGTTCAATCAATAAAATGTCACTCCATTCACTATTGTAAGTGACGCATTAGTCTGAATACTAACCTGCACATTCTCAACTTATACCTTGCGAATTGTATACCATGAATATATTATGTTCATGAAAAACAACTGATCCATTGGCGATTTCGCCGTGGGCATTTGGAACGGGGCCCATGCGGCAAACGCAGGCCCAACACGGCACTGAAATGAAGGTGGTGGGGCACATTTGCCGTCCCAATCTGCTAGAGTATCGCTTACACCCCTCGGTTTTTCCTCAGGTGCCTACCCGAGGTCCCTCGGGCCGGATGGGCTTTTACTACCGGTTTCTTTTGTTCAAAACCGCAAAATCTCGAACTTTGAGGCCATTTTTCGACATTATCCCATCTGATATCGAAGTTAAAAATGGTATCAGTCGATTCGCCTTGGCGAGACCTTTCCAACGGTGTATAGCATATGCTGTACGCTCTTGGGTCAGTAAACCCCTCTATGACTTAACATTGTCCTTTCTTCTGTCAGTGAGAAGTAAATTCTTCTGATAATTGGAATGTCGTGGGGTGTTGAATTCTCCATATAATAACTGATATAGCGTGTAATTGCGGTGAAGTCTAAGAAATTGTATGGTGGTGACATCAGAGCTACCGAGAGAAATTTTATTAAGGATTGCAGTTACATAATTTTGTACGACTGTACACGTCGAAGGGTCAATTGCAATTTATTGATGGTAATTTTATTTTTTTCAGGAATGACGATCGGAGCGGCGATGACGAGGATCGACAGCTACCGCTGATTCATAAGATACCCTGCAGGGCCATTCGCATCCAAAATGAGCACATCGCTGCGAATTTTGGCGCTAATCAGCTTAGCTGCGCAGAACGTGGCTTGGCCGCAAGATCCCGTTCCTAGGCTGCACGTCAAACACCGTGAGTAACGATCAAAGCAAAAATATTGCATTACGCTGACCTGTGCGCGATACGTAGAGTGTTCCTAAACTATTTGACGCAACTTTGCTGACGTGTGTTTTACTAACGGAATTATTTAATGAAACAATCTCGGATAAACGATCATTTCCTTTCACTGTTACCTTCAGAATACACATGTTGGATCTGTAAATATTTACACAATAGATATCGAATAATGACACTGAAGATAGTACAGTTTATCAATCAAGGAGACGAATTTATTTTTTATAAAGAGTCCACTCCAAACAATTCCATATATGTCTAACATTAATTAGTCTAGGGACACTCTGTACAAAAGAATTAATTTCTAGATATTAGTAAATTGTTTCATAATTTTCGAAGAAATAGGTTTAAGAATTGAAGACTTTTTGTTTGAATAGATTTGTTTCAAACTATTCCAACTTCGTCAAAACAAGTCGTATAGCAATCTTTCAAACATTTAACAAATTTATTAAAAACCCCCTTAGAAATTAATTTAAAAAATTATGACCTAACGATCATAAGTGTTGGAACTTATAGTAACGCAAAATGAAATCCATAGAACATTTTTGCCTTTATTTTTTGGTTCTGATTAAAATACATAATGAAGTTTTAAATTACATGTTCTTTACAACAGAAAATACTCAATACAGCAAAATTGATTATAGATCCAGAATAAATTTTGAAACATTTTTCATTATTATTCCTTACAGAACGTTTCTCGTTCAATGTGGAATAAAACAGCAAAAAGACTTGAAACATCAACTTTTAAGGAGGTCATTGTAAAAGGAAAGTTTTAATCTTTAAATTTACGGTAGTTTTAGTTGCGTAAAAAATGTTTTGAACTTTTGGGAGCCGTTTGAATTTAAAACATATTTTAGACTAAAGCCGTCGTCGCGTTCTCACCCGGTTTCTAGCGTGAAAGAATCTTCGAGCAAATTCAACTTGGCAATAGGAAAATGGAGGATTCAACCCAGGAAGATCATTGTACGACTTGTTTTCACAAGGTTACGATAGTTCTAAGTATAATATCAAGTAATATATTTTTTTGCCTCCTCGAAAGACTCATTTACGTCATTTAAAATAATTTTGTACCTTTCTCGTACTCTTGTAGAAAAGCTTTTGCCCTACAAGCGGGGAATTACAATGTGTTTTTAAGACGTACGAACACGTTCAACATTAACGTGCCTTATTTTAACCATGAAATCATTTTCTCGGTAAAACGTACGTCCCATGATAACTGGCTTCGCGAACGTTGAGAAATCCGTGTTTTTACCGCGCGGATATCAATCTTTATTCGTTAGATTAAGGTCTCGACGTTCGATCATTAGGCCCCGCTAAGTCAAGCTCTATACACTTACGTACGGAAAATTATACTGTTGTTAACTTTTTCCAACGGTAATTTGTTCCATTTAGAAAGCGAGCCGTGTCACGAGACAAAAAGACACTCGTGTCCCGAGATGAAAGAAATCGAAGAAATTTTCAGCGTCGCGCATTTTTGCACCGTCACTTAATGATAATGTGTCACTAAATTCGGTTCGTCGTTGGCTTTCGCGTGAGAGAATTTAATAAAACGGGGACACGTTCCCGCCATGCTATTTTATAGATGTATTGGATTACCAAATTGCTTCTGGCTGAGCGTTTTAGAACATATGCGAACATTGAATTAAGATTAATACAATTAGTCGATCGAGAGCTAGCAGCCACATTTTATGCAACCGCGTATTCATTTTACTCGATTAACTTTGATACTCGACATAGCTGTCGAATAATCGCGTTGCATTTACTCATATCCATTGAAACGTTCAATTCTTTGTTAACATTTTCGTTTATAATACTGCGCATTAAAAAGTAATTTATTCTGAAATTGGCCAAATATTACAAAGAACCCTAATTGCATGTAAAATTCCAAATGTCTGTCATTAGAAATTCTATAATAAGTACACAATTATCGAATAATTTGATCGTTGACGCTTTAATTTCAAAGCATTTCTGGAAAACTGCCAGTCGACGTGCTGAACGTTTATCGAGGTAAAAATCTGTACTTTTAACGAGGAGTTGCTTCGTTCCGATGATTCCATGACGTCGAACTGCACGAAGTTAATTTCGTCGATTAATGGCTGCGTTTCCTGCTCTTGGAGGTCCATTGAATTCGTTCCGCTTCATTACTGTATGATACGCGACAGACTATGGGGAACAATACGGCACATTTCACGCCAAGTTTGATAAGAAAAGGTAACCCCGAACTTGATTTATTCGTCTCCTTTGTTCCATCGGCCATCTTTCGTACCCGAGGATCTAATCTTCGCGGGTGAACAAGTACTTGATAACGATAATCGTCGTTGAATTGATAGAAATTGAAATTTGGTGGGCGCCAAGGTTGATTTTCCATGAAATTAGAACCGTGGCACACTTTGAGCCACACGGGCTTTACCAAAATTACTCGATCCCAGCCACTCAAAGGGTTTACGTTAAATAAGCTTCTTGAAAGTTTTCCGAAGCAAGGAACAGTGAATTCGCCTCTGTTGTTAAACGTCTAATCGCTAGCCTGCATTACTCTACGAGATAACGACAACCGCCATTGGATCGACGGTTATAAAATTTATTCAGCATGCGTTTCAAGACTGATTTTTCGCGTCGACGTTGAAATGGTGGAACTCTTTCGGTTCCGTTATTTGCACGGTAGCTTGCTCGGGAACAATAACGCGCTGTTTCGCGGGAATTCGCCGATAAGGAAAAAGTTAGTTCGTTTCACGGTCGTTTCGACTCGTTTTCACGCTGCGCGCCTTCGCGAGGGAAATGTAATTTCCTTCGGGGCGTAGGAGGTGGCAAGATAAAGAAACGCGGCGATAGAAAAGGCGAGGTCCGCGCTGGAGTTCGAAGTACAGTATTGTCTCGTTATAAGTCGTCGTTCGTATCTCGCTGTAAGCAATCTCTCCATCCGCTCCACCTTTTTCGTACTTCACGTGGATGGTATTCTATGCCTGGAAAACAGGACGTGATAATGTTCTTTCTCACTTCGACCATGATGGTGTTTGAAAGGATGGAACAATCCTCCTTTTTACGATCTTTCAAGCCATCATGACCAAAGTGAAGGAAAACATTGTCACGTTTCATTTTCTGAAACAGGATATCGTAAACGAACAGTCTGTCGCGCTCTCTCTGTCGCGTGAAGTACGAAAATAGTGGAGGGGATCGAGAGTGCTTATAGCGAGACACGAACGACGACTTATAACGAGACAATACTGTAAAACGATCTGTGTGAAACTGTTTGGTGTACACTTTTGCCTCGAAGAGGTCGGGAAAATGAAAGCTAGAGAGAGATAGAGAGGACTGTAGGACGCAGAGCAGTCGATGACGTATATACACGTCGGTTTAGTCGGTCTCTCCTCGACGCTGTCGGCCGTATTCCGTGGATTCAAAGGCATTTCCGCGCGACGTGAGCACCCTTTCGACCGCACCTGTGGATTTGGCCGTCGTCGTTTTGTCGTGCAGGTGCCTGGCGCTAAGCACAACACGGCGTATCGGGGCTGCATGTGCGCCAGGGATACGGGCCGGTCTCTCTGCCCCAGCCCAACCGTAGAGACCGGGATAAATGTCGACGGGTCCCGCAGAAAAAGGGAACGGAAGGAAAAAGGAGGAACAGCGAGGGAGCAGTACCGTAGGAAAGAACGAAGATAAATTAGACGTGGCCGGATAAAGATTTCTATTATTGGTAGTCGCTTTTTCCTCCCAGCTTGCGATGCAAGAATAGAAATCGGAACGAACTTCGAAAACCGGGGACAGAAAAATTTGCTCGAGCTCCTTTGTGAAATTTCGTACGAATTGTTAACCTCTTTGGAGACGAGAGGCGATCTTGGAACGCTTTCGAACGGACAGTAATTTCGAAAATAGCATCGTTCCATATATTAATCCAATTTTCCTGCAATTGAAAATTTTCACTGAGATTAACTCTTTGACATACGATTTAATAATTGTTCAAACGTATACTATTTAATTTTGTTTAAATTTGAAGAATGGCTACGAAAAAGAATAGATTTGTTTTACGAATACGTCGTGAATGTAAAAATATGTTCATTTTAATATACAGGGTGTTCGACCACCCCTGGGAAAAATTTTAATGGAAGATTCTAGAGGCCAAAATAAGGCGAAAATCAAGAATATCAATTTGTTGATAGAGACTTCGTTAAAAAGTTATTAACGTTTAAAGTTCTGCCTGTAGAACGGCAGTTTGTCCACCTACTCAAATTTTGTTCCCCAAAATGCGTAGGAATTCGGGGGTATGTCTATTCACCAAAGATGGTTGACTCCCATAACTGAAAATAATTTTTTCAGAATGATTTGAAGTTTTTTTTTCGCCGAAAAATTTAGGCACCTACTCGAATTTTTTTCTCGAAAATGCGTAGGATTTCTAGGATGTGTCTATCTACCAAAAATAATTGTAATCGACCTCCGCAACCGAAAATAATTTTTTCAGAACGGTTTGAAATTTTTTTTTCGTCGAAAAAAAGTCCACCTTATGAATTTTTTTCTCGAAAGTGGGTAGAATTGCGAGGGTATATGTCTTCACCAAAAATGATCGTAATCGATCACCGCAACCATAAATAATTATTTCAGAATGATTTGAATGTTTTTAATTTAATTTTTTAATAACTTTTTCACGAAGCCTCAGTCAAGAAATTCATATTGTTGATTTTCGTCTTATTTTGGTCTCTAGAATCTGCCATTAATATTTCTTTATAGGACTTGGCTACGAATGAGTGGCCTTTGTAACGAGTCAGATTCATGATTGTGCGGTAAGGGGTTAAAAAGAAGATATTTATTGAGTTACTTTGACTTGAGAGCGAGAGAGGGAGAGAGAGGCTGTGGTACGTGGAAATAGAATTTAGGGTAAAATGGAGTCGAAAGTGAGAGAATGATAAGAGGATAGAAGAATGGGGGCGAAGGTGCAAGCGAGAGTTCAGTGAGTTTAACGACCTTTG